AGCCAGCAACAGGCCTGAGGGAAAGAAATGCAGGTGCGTTTGGAAGTCAGGTAGGCTGCCGTGGTAAGGGTGAGGGTGTCTCATGAGAGCACCAATAGCATCCATTGCAGGAGTAAGGATAAGACTAACGCATTCTGACAGTGAAGGAAAATAGACTTGACTGCTTGGTAAGATGAATTGTGAAATGCACTACAAAGAGTAAAAGAAGGGGGAAGATTTGGGGCATTTTCAGAATCAATCTGCTGCGATCACTAAGAAACAAAGACTATTTTCAAGTAGATTATGATACTCCATTAATTAGAGGATATACCTGTTTCAGAAACATGAGCATCAGGAAAAAGTACGTATCACAATCAATAAATACAGTAATTGTACAAGGATTTCAGAGTTTCACATACATAAACATCCATACTTTTATCTTTCATCTTAGATGTCATTAAAAGTGAAGCATAGGGAGTAATATGCCTGGGATTGAGGCTTTTATTGTTACTAGACTGTATATCCTAATCTGAACAAGTCATTCAATCTCTCCTAGTCTCTATGTTCACATCCACAAAATGGGGATAAAGGTATGGCCTTGGCTCTTCCACAGATCTATGGAAAGATGAATGAAAGTTATTGTAAAATTAAAATGTTATTGAGATGTAAGTTGCTGTGAATGTGCAGAAGCTGCAAGGAAGCTCACAGGTAGCATGAAGAAAAATGTTCTCCTTGGGATTTCAAGTAAGATCAAAGTGGAACAATTTCTTTACTCATAAAGAAATACCTTTGCTTAAAGACTAAATGAGAAAAATAATGGGAGAAAGCAGCCAGGGACTTGAGTATAATCCAACACAAAAAAAGATCCTGCTCATGCATGAAGACAGGAAAAAAAAAAAATCCCATTGGTCATTTTCTAGCTGGTGCAGGACACCTAGGCACAGGAGAGACAGCTACCTCCCGGCCGTGACAGCAATCTGCTTCTTGTTCATGCATGATCATTTCCTAATGGTGCCCACACAGCCAAAGAGACACACAACTTGGAGTTATCAGCCAGAAAAGCCCAGGCTGCCACCTGGGGAGTTGGAAGCTCCCAATACAAAGAAAACGACACACACCTGAGCAGGTCTGATATATATTCCTTTCTGCAGAGGGCAGTGGAATTCAATCCTGGGCCATTTATCATGTTGCTAAAATTAGATCCTGCTTAGAAGGAATGATATATTACTGATTACATAATAAAGATAGCTATATTTCTCATGAGAAACAGGGGAGAGAGATATATCTGGGTGTAGGGCAAATATATCCTTGATGTGAAAAATGGATTCATTAAGTATTTAATCTTTATACCATTCCTGTGAAATAACTGCACACATACATCACACATGTTTTAAAGTGAGTTGATAATTAATATTGTTACACTGGAGAACAATCTTGGCTCTCCATTGAGAAGCTGTGAGTGAAAGACGGCGAGCACAGGCATGGCCTGCTCCTGGCCCTGTGCACAGCAGCCTCACCTCCCTTTAAAGCCCGGTTGCCTGTCCCATCTGCAGGAAGAAGCTGAGTCCTAGATTTGCACTGCAATGTTATCTTATTTTGGAGAGGTCCTCAGAGTCACTGTAAGCCCTGAGTGGCTTCTCTCAGACTGTAGCTTCACATAGAAGAGAGGCATGGTGATGGCAGTTGAAAATATTTTTGTTACCAAAGGATCTCTGAATTCCACACAGCTTTCCACCTCCAGTTTTTCATTACTAAACCTTACTCCTCATTTCATTTCCCTTCATACAGGAAAAACCTCATGCTTTGTAAAGCCTGTTGCCCCAGTGGAAACTTGCTCAGAGCCCCCAGCCATGCTATCCTGAGTTGAGACAAGCACGAGAGTGTTGGGTTGGAGTTTAAACAAACACACAGATTTGCAGCACCTTGGGTGTCAAAGGTCAGTAAAAACAACTGCTGATAAAAATGAAAGAGCAAAATCATTCCAAGAATAACTTTGAGTAAGGGGGCGGATCTAACTAAAATTTATTCTAAAGAGATTATGGTTAGCAGGAAGACACCAATAAGTTAGAAGTGGTTAAAAGAACATTCTTTGTATAATTATGTTACAAGAAAGAACATGGGTGCAAAGGCAGATGAACTTGACTTCCGGTGCCCACTCTGCTATTACTAGGTATGTTGACAAGGCATCTGACCTCCTTTGAATTCTGCTTCTTTGTAGTATAAAGATCAAACTCTGACCTTAATGTTCAAGGTTGATTATAGGCACAACCTCTAGCATAGTGCCTAGTATGGAATAAGAAGTGAACAGACATGTGGTAGCTTTCATCCCGTCTCCTCCTGTCTACCTACTTAAGACTCCAGGAAGTGTAATCCTAGTACATACGTGTGCATAGGTATTATACAGAGTAAGAAAGCAATGACCCAAACTTTTGCCCTCAATGATGGAAAAAAAAAATTGCTTCCATCTACTTTACCAGGTTGGAAATTAGAATAACAGAAGGGCTCAGAGTCACAGTCAAGGCCACAAGTCTCAGGATAGATCAGATTCTGAAGTAGTTTGAACAAACTCCAGTGGTCAGTGGCTTAATATTTCTCTCATGCTCCATATCCAGTAAGGGCCAGGGGATGGTTGTGCTCTTTATAGTCACTGAGGAACCCAAGGCTCCTCCACCTTCCAATGTCACCATCTCAACACATGACCTATAGGAGGGAAAGAAGAGCATCAAAACAGAGGGCCTGCTCTTAATCGCTTTGATGAGGAAATACTGTGTGATCTTTTACATATATTCTAAGTAGCCTTCCAAATGCAGTCCACCAAGGGGCCTGGAGAGGAGGCTGGCTCCAGGCTCAGAAAGGGACTGGTGAGTACAATCCAAGTGGACCTGGTGCCACTGAGCCAGGGAGGTTTCCAGGAGCCCCAGCCCTTGCAGCATAACAACCCTCCCTGAGGTAACGCAGCTTTGCCCAGGACCAGCCAACCTCTGGCGGCACCAACCCCAAGCTTTTCCCTCCCCTACTTTGATCTTGTGAGCAGCACTGTGAAGTCTCAATTATTAACTTTCCTAAGTAAATCATGCACTTTTCCCAAGTTGCCAACTTCTGGATATTCCATGGCAACAGGATTGTCATTTTGTCATGTGCCACACCTTCCGTTCACTTTAAAGTAAACTCTGTATCATTGATGGTCTCACCAGTTTTCCTCCTTTCGTGGAAATGCTTCATCATTATCTCCCTTACTTGTTTTCCATCTGTGGTTGACTGACAGAATTAATAGCCCCGTTGCATAGGTCCTGCTTTACCTTGGTCTTAACCATCCAGCAGAAAAGTATACAAACGAAGTATAAGAAGTAAAGCCATGCTGTTATGTTGAGCTGTGGGGGACTCAGGTCAACAATGTCTGACGGAAGACCCAATACTATTATGGGTTACTGGACTCTTTTAGAATATTTTGCTGAGTTTACACACCTATAATAGTCAAATAACGGAACTTAACAAAAAAAGGGTGTATTAGTTGATACATTGTGTCAACTTGGCTGAATCAGCTCCGGCACCATGGGGACCTCGCTCTGCAGGTGGGCAGGGCCCAGGAATTGAGAAAGGCAGGAAGCCGCCTTGCGTGGTTTCCTGCTGCCCCACCCTGCTTCCGGAGAAGTCCCAGTCTTCGAAGGAGCTTAATCTCGGCAGCCACGCCACTTTGGAGGAGCTCCGATCTTCACTGTGGAGCACTGATCTTCGCAGTCAGCGCAGAGGGAAGAGAGAGGCTTGATGGGTGCCGCTGCAGCTGCTGCTCCTCCTCTGCTCTTCATTGTTTTCTGCTGCATGAACTGCTGTTGTTTGCCTTGCATCCAGAGGAATATGGACTGAACCCTCCAGTAACTGTGAGCTTAATAAACCTTTCCTTCCATCATTTTGAGTGTCCAGTATTTGTCCCAGCAATGAGTAAAAAGTAACTAAGACAAAGGGGATACAGATGAATGTCCATTTTGTATCTGTGTATTCAAAATGGTTAGGATATATAGTTACATTCCCTTAATGAATAGAGGGATTTGTTCTAATAGTGTTTGTAAAAAGGATATCATGTCCACATCTTTTACAGTAATTAACCACTAGGAAGAATGTATGCAAAGTGTTAATTATTGAAACTGTCCTATCAATTTGGTTTGAAACTGTCTCATTGCTATTTGTTTCTCAATAAAATTATGGGAAAAAAAAATAGCCCCAATGCTTCACCCCTCCTCTGGGGTCCGGCCCCATGTGGTTCTGCACGGCCTCTTGCTAAACGTGTGGTGTTGAATTCTGCATGAATCAAAAAGTGAACAAATGCTTCATGGAGGATGCTACGTGCAAAGAGATCGGCCTGTCAAGGGAACCTCCAAGCTGCAAAGACTTGGGAACAGGACTCCACCACGGCTCTGGGTGACGAGTCAACCTGCATCCCCACCAGTGGCTCAGGGAACAGGGCCCATAGTCTTGAGGCTGTGAAGATAGAGCAGGAGCTAAGCCAGCAGGAGCTGGGCACTGCATAAGCAGGCTGCCATGTGAGTCAAAAGTCCCAGTGGGCAGCTGAAGGACAAACAAAAAGCAGACAGGAGGGGAGGTGTCCCCGTGGCACCACTGGGCTTTTTGGTTGCTGTGTGAAAGATAGCAGGATACTCCAGAAACACTGACAGGTGGGGTGGGGGGAGATGCTGATCTGAAGTTCAGCTGGAGCTGGGGCAGACTCAAGAGGATGCCTGCCTGGCAGGGGCTCACAGCTGCCACCTGGGGCATGCATTTTCTTAGCTCATTTCTGGCTGTACATCTGGTTATTCGCCACATTTAAAAACTTATGCCTGGGCTCTACCCACTAAGCTTTAGATCCAGTTGGTCTCCTTGGTAGGCTAATTAATAATGCACATCCTGAGTTGAGAAGCATTTAACTAACCCAAGCCTTCTCCCACCCATACTCTTCTATACCACAGTTTAGGTAATGTTTAAAGAAAAAAAATGAATGAGGAAAATAACTTTTGAGAGTTGCTTTTTAATTTAGGATTATCCATACAGTCACTGGGGGTCTCTAAAGTGGTCACCTAGAGGCCCTTGGTGTTAGTCATGATTTGCATGCCCTGCCACAGTAAGGATCCGATTCCTTGACAACACAGGAAGTGTACCACAGACCTTGGAAATATTTCACACCAAAGATGTCCTCTAGTAACAGGTGCATTTAAAGAGTTATCATGCAACTTGAAAATGACAAAATGCTGGCTTGTCAATATATTTTACAATATTTTCTCACCAAGTCCTGAATTTCTTAAAATTTTTAGAACGAAGTATTCCATGCTAAGGAACAAAGACGAAGGAAAGTGCTAGGATATGTGGAGTGGGGAAATTCTTTGGGATCTGGGCAGATCTTGTGAGAAAGGTACACCTTCATCTAAGGACTAAATGAAGAGACAGAGCACCGCGACCATCCGCGCAGAGCTTTCTGAGCAGCACGAACGCTCTGCAGAGGATCTGCGCCCCACATTCAGCAGAGCAAACAGCACAGCATACCAGGAGAGGCTCACAACAGTTTATTACCCTAAACACCAAGCATCCCAACTGCCTAGAAACAGGAAAGCAAATACCACATGCAAAATGATAACCAAGAGCAAAGTATACTTTAAAGTTTAGCACAGCTGATATGACAGACAATCTGGGGATGATATAAATTTTTTTGCATAATATTTATGAAGAGCAGAGACATGCATGGCTTTAATCGTGTTTCTGTACAAGTGATACAAAATAATGTTTTATGAATATTATCCTAAATTTGTTACAATTGTACAAGATCTCAGAAGACCAAATGGAGAACATATTATATAAATCAAAGGAATAAATGAATATGAAAGAAAAGACAATTACATGCCCAGATAAAAATTTGTGCCTGTTCTATTATACCATAAAACACTTCGTAAATGTAAACATTGCACACAAATGTTAAATAAATATATACTCTTCCTATGGGTTTTAAAAAAAAAGATCTCAGTAAGCAAGAATTATCATTGCATATTTAAAAGCTGTCTGTGGTCCGTGTGCCCCAGCCTCTAACAGTTGCTTCAGGGAAGCCAGAGTCTCAGTGGAAATAACCCAGTTGAAGGCTGGGGGCTGAGTGGGAAGTAGGCAGAAACGTTGCTTCGCCATTAGTAGCTGGGTGGCCACAGATGAGACATACAATCTAGTCAAGGTCTTATTTTGAAATGTGTAAGATGGGATGATACTTCCCATTTCAAATGGTTGTCATTGAAACAAAAATCATTTAAGTCACTGGACTTAAAGTAATAGCACAGTGGCTGTGACATGCTCATGACTCTCATGGTTGTCATGACCAATGTCACCAGAAGTGTGTGGAGGGAACACACCTACGGATGCTCAGAGAAGCACAGACAGCCGGAGGACAGAGTGAGACTGGGATGATAGCTATTCTCAGATCGGAAGACTCGGAGTGGCCAGGCAGCCCTCCACTGCTGGGTCTCTCAATTCTGCAGAAGTTAAAAATTCAGGGGTTGGACATCAGTCTATTGCCAACTGATGATGTGTTTCTAGCCTAGTGAAGGCTTCCAATTCTTTATTATGGAATTTGACAAGTGCCTATGAATGGCTCCTGGACACTTCTGAAACCACGAGTCACCTGAAAACTCATAAAAGATAACTAGAAGCCATACAAGCAGGAATCCAACTACAAAATTAATATTCACATTTGAGAACTATAAAGATTATATTCCATCAGAGAAAAAGACACTCCACAGTAGGCATATTTCCTATTCTGCCAGCCGGAATATCAACATAGTTTTTCCCTTTCCATTTAAAATAAAGTTGATGAGTACATTAATTACATGTAGTGAGATGTAGCTTAGAATTTAATGAAGAGAGACGAAGGGGAACCCATTACCAGGAATAACCCATAACACTGCATCAGATGGTGAGGTGCCCTTTAGGGCCCAGTGCTGTCTGTCCTGCAGTTCACTCTGCGCAGCAGCCACGGGCCCTCCGAGGAGTGGTTCAGTGAAACAGCAACAGCCTGTGCTTCACGACAGCTTCTTCTTGACAGGCAGCAGTCCTTAAAGCTTCTGAGAGTTTGAAATAAAGGTGTAGATGTTTCTTTAGCGACGTCATCAGAGATCCACAGTAGCAGCATGACAAATGCTGTTCCCTGCTGGACCAAAAACACAGAAAAAATTTAAAAATCAGGCTGCTTCTGTTAGCTACTCTAGCTGAGTAAGACATGATCTTCTAAACACAGATTAAGGGCCTAGCCTGCATGCATATAAGCATATTTGATAATAAAAATAAATAAATTGTGTAGAACAACAACATAGCTGAGTTTATTGAAATTTTTTTTAAAAAAGTAATGAACCCAGAGTTAGAACTAGGTTCAAGCCCCAAATCAACTGGTAAGTAGTTGAATAGCCTTTGACATTATTTCGCTTCTCAAAATGTGTCTACGCACCTATAAAGTAGGAGTGCTGAAATATATTTCCAGAGGCTTACAACATTGTGGTAAGAATTAGAACAGATAGTCCACATGGAAGTCCTATGAAAACCAGAAGAGGGGCTGTATTAAGTGGTGTTATTGTTACCTATTTCTAGGAACTGCTGAACACCATATCCTTAGACCATAGCTCACTCCTGACAGATGAGAATGCATTACTATGTCATAGCCCATTGTCTCCAGCTGTTCTTGTTGTCTGCTGATAGAGGGGTCCAAGTTACCCTGTTAGCACACATCCTTGGTGGAAAGGATTTTTCTAAAAGTGGAAAGGAGTTTTGACCCCTCCCCATCTCTTTCCACAAATCCATATTGTCAAGCAAATGTCACTCCAAGTTCCTAAACTAAGGAAAGAGACATCAGGAAAGCACAGAGATACCTTGCCTTAGCTTTCCACATTTTTGTTAAAAATATTTAATAGCTAAGTCTCAATTCTGAAATCTCTGTACAGCAGTAATTATTCATTGTGATTTACCACCACTTACCAAAGGTAGTCAGGAGATACATTTCTGATATGGGATATTTTAAAGATTGAGAGATTAAGACTTAGAGAAATGAGGTAACTTTCTAGGGTGGCCACCTCCAGTGAGGCAAGGCTGAGGCCTGGTCCTAGGTCTGCAAAGCACAGTCTGACCATCTCACTATCTTGTTTTCCTGAATAACTACTCTACAGTTACTATTAGTTTTGCCTAGAATCTGCCTTTACGATAGAATGTCAAATAGCATCTGGAATCCTTTCTGTATCAATGTAGACTCCAATGGATCCATTTTTTTTTTTAATCCAGTATTTATAAATCATCTACCTACTGTCTGCCAGGTGCTGCGCTGGGGAAGACAGTCTTCAGCTATGAGTGAATCTAGTTTCTTAATTCTGCATAGCTCCTAGCCAAGGATAATGGATCAACTATTACAACTTCCTTCCTAGGATATGTGATGGGTACTGCTTTTCAAATTAACATACAAACTCATAAGGATTTTCTTTATTGCTCATAAAAAGGTTCATCTAAAAAAAGACTCATTTAAGTATTCCTTTAATGTCATTCACTGTCAGTGAGGGTAAATATTTGTTAAGGGCCTAGAAGGAGTCAGACACTGTGCTAATTAATCTAAAGATACGATTGTATTTATAAGCCCTCTGTTGACACACAGATGTTCCAGAAGTACTAGGGATGCTTAATATGAATACATGTTAATTTTTAGTTAAGCATTTCAATGAAGAAGGAAAATAACTATGATATAAAATAGCTACAGTATATTTCAAGAATTTTACCAAGGATTTGAGTCTATAAATTTTAAACTTTCAGAAAGACATTTGGAGCTTAAAACAACCTACTTAATTCTGCAGAAGTATCAACAGTATCACAGCTAAGAATAGGATGCAAAAACAGAAGCGTACAGAGAAGTGAAGAGACATTATGAGCAATCCAGAAACTATCAGGCCTCTGGAAGTTCTGTTTTCCACTATTTCCAAATATCCAGGTCAAACTGAGCTTTCTTCTTCCTGAGTAGTGATGCCACTCGGTACCATAACCCTTATTTTCAGATTTCTGAGGCATTTGTTTTGGAAAGTGTAAACTCTGTAGCAGAAATAGCTCTGTTAAGTTCCATTACACCTCCAGGGTAAACAAATAACCCTCGGCACATCACAGAGCTAAATATGTACTTGTCAATTAATAAAGATTATTGGAGATGTTATAGTAATACATAAATGATCAGATGCCAAAGCAAAAGTACTACCTAAAACCATTACCTTAAATTTGCTGGAGGCAGTTGAAATATAATGGCTAAGAGGCCAGGTTCTGTTATTTTCTGTTTCTGCATCTTTGGGTAAATTACTTAATCTTTCTGTTGCTCAGTTTACTATCATCTCTAAAAATTAGAATAAGGGTGTCTATATAGAGAAATTGCTGCAGTAATTTAATTAGCACAAGGACAGCATTTACAACATTAGTATATAATCATGACACTATTCTTATCTGTGAGTCATTTCTAAGTATGAAAAATTCCTTTAAAATTAGAAGTATGATACAATAGATTCATTTATTTCAAAGACATTAGAAAATGTAGTCCTTATAACCACTAAGCTTACTTTAATTCAACTTTGACTTCCAGATAAAGATGGCAGTTAGCACAAACACACCCACATTTACATTCTTCAAATACCACTAGAGTGTATACCCACAGAGTTTGGAGAATAAGAGGAGAACCAGCAACATTTCTTTGGTGAGACACTCACATACATAGAAACTGAACCTAGGACCATTCTGGTACTCACTGCACAACAGTGGAGGACAGACTGTGTTTTTTGGGGGGGGTAGATAATGCACCCAAAAGATGTGGGGCAATAATGGCAGATCCAACCTAGAAATAACTGGCATCGCATGTAGGAAAGGTGAGGAATAATGCATAAGTACTTTCCAAAATTAATGGCGGATTCAACCATAGTTCTAAGACCCTTAAGTAACACTAAGCAAAATACATTTCTCCTCCCCAAGGATCTACCAGGCTATAACATCATCATATAAAACTAGATAAAAGACACGTTCCACATAGAGGAATTAAAAACTAAAGGTAAGAAGAAAGAGTAAATTTCTCATCAGAAACTATGCACACCAGAATTTACCAGAATGTTATCTTTGTTACTGAACACCAAGAATTTGTGCTGTTTTTTTTTTGTTTTTTTTTTTTTTTTTCAGAACCGGGGATTGAACTCAGGCCCTTGCACTTGCCAAAGAAGCACTTATTCCACTGAGCCATCTCCCCGGCCCCTAAAACTACTTTTGAAAGCTTTTTTTTTTTTTTTTTTTGAATTTGTGCTGTTTTGAACAGTATTTTTTCCCTCAACTCATGCTGAGGCGTGGTCCCTACTGTGAGATGCAATACAGAAGACAGGGCCTACTAAGAGCCCTTATGAAGATTCACGGCACCTTGCAGGAGTAAATAAGGTCTCGGAGTCTTGCACCATTGGGTTAGTTACCACAATAGAAGACTGACTCTTACACTAGCTGCCACTCTTTCTCAGGTACCTGTTTGCACTTTGGCTTTTTAACCACAAAGCAGCACAAGGTCCTCAGCAGACGCAGTGATACCGTGGGCGTCCCGGCCTCCAGGACCCTAAGCCAACATGCTCACCATTTATAAATCACTTTGTGGCAGGTATTCTCTTACAGCAACCAGAATGGCACAAGACAATCTGATGATCCAGAATTTTAGGTTCAGAAAACATACTTTATAGAAAGAATAGTGGTTTCCCAGCCCCAAACAAAAAAACAGCAGCAGCAAATCTGAGACTGCACTGCCAGGAAATCAGTGCTATTAGAAATGCTAAGGTTCTCTAGAGAGAGGGAGTATCATAGCAGATGGGAATTTGAATCCCTATAAGGAAATTAAAAGCACTGAGAATGGAATAAGTAAACATTAAATATACTTATTTCTAGTTGCTCCAAAAAATAACTATCTAGTGAAAATATACTAGTTTTATATGTTCTTAATATATATTTAGAGCAAATATGCAACAACACAGGGCAAGAATAGAAGGGAGGAACTGGGAATGTACTGTCCTTAGATTAGTATTGAGCAGAAGAACATCTGAAAGCAGACTCCTGTCAAATAAGATGCTTATGGTAAAATCCTAGGTCAACTGCTAAATTTATTCAAAAGACTATACACAGTAATATAGCAGAGATAACGCTGCCTTGTTGAACATTTTTCTCAATCAAAAAGGGGCAGAAAGAAAGAAAAAAAATTTTGCTGAGTTCATACACCTATAATATTCAAATGATGGAACTAAACAAAAAAGGGGATACAGATGAATGTCCATTTTGTATCTGTGTATTCAAAGTGGTTAGGATAGATATATAGTTACATTCTCTTGATGAATAGAGAAATTTATTCTAATAGTGTTTGTAAATAGGATATCATGTCTGCATCTTGTACAGCAAATAACCACTAGGAAGAGAGCATGCAATGTGTTAATTATTGAAACTGTCCTACCAATCTGATTTGAAACTGTCTCATTGCTATTTGTTTCTCAATAAAATTATGGAGAAAAAAAACACACACAAAAAAAGAAAGAAAAAAGAGCAAACAGAACAAGTAGAAAGAAGCTAGTTAGGTAAGAGATCTTAATTTGATAATAACAAGCACATTAAATGTAAATCACACTAATAAAAAGACGGCAATTGTTACACTAAATATTACTGTCTATTTAGCATGACCTAAATACTTACTGTCTATAAAACTCATTTTAAACAGAAAGACATAGATAGGTTAGAAAGATGGAAAAATCATACCATCCAGTCACAAATTAAGAGAAAGTTGAAGTAAGCAACTTTATTGATATCAAAACAGGATTCAAATAAGAAAAACTACCAGTGAAAGAGGTCATTACAATAATAAAGCATTTAATACTCTATGATAGATTAACTAATAATTCTATGTATATTAATTCAATAGTTTAGTGCAGATGGATCATTTCCTTAAAAAAAAATCTTATCAATGTTATGGAGACAACAGAAAAGTCCACATAACCTCGTACCTATTCTCAAAATTAAATTCATACACTTAATTTTTTCTTAAAGAAAACCCTAAACCCTGATGACTTTACTCAGATTTAATAGTGAAATATCAAACTGAATGTTTTGAGTTCAGAAACAAGATGTCTTCTC